CCCCCCTTTCTTCAGTACATGCTATGTCATTTTAGCAGCACATAAATAAATATTTCAGCTTGACTGACTCATTTGTTTGTGGACTCTTCCACTTGCCAATAAAATCTGAGCAACATTCATTGGCACTGTGAGTCCTCCACCCCTTGGCAAGCCTCTTCCCAAAAACAATTTAATAAGCATGAAACTGTTAATTGCTCAACATGGAACAGAAGGAAGCACATGCTTATAGAAAATAAACACAGCTAATTGCTCTCCGAATGCTTCCTTCATTCTAATTCTGCTCAGGTTACTCTCAACAGCATTGAATTATGGTAGCCTGTGACAACCAATCAGAAATCAGCTTTGATATGCCTGAATAGGCTTGACCATTCAAAAACTGGTAGCTGATTGGATGCCTGGATCGCAGAATGTCAGTTATCTTTGCAGTATTGGCCACCAATGATATCATCATTGTGCTGTACATAGCCTGTGCATAGAGCAGAGCTGTGGAAGTAGCCCAGCAGGCCCAACCCGCTACAGGCTGCCTGTAGAAAACTACAGGAGGATTGTAGACAAGACCAGTCCCCCTGCGCAATGAGAGATAGCAGCAGTGAGCAATCTTTATTACAGGAAGCTCCACCCACGCCACTACAGACTGGCTGCAGAAAACTGCAGGAGGGGGCGGAGACAATACCAGTCAACCTGCTCAAGGAGAGAGGGCAACATTGACTGGTCTTTATTACAGGAAGCTCCAAGTGTCACACTGAATGACTGCACAGATCTGGAAAAAATACACAAAGCTCAGCAAGATTCCAGGAAGAATGCACATGACTTTTGTATTTAGACAATATTTTCTGATGCCGAAGTTCAGCTTTAAAACTAATATTCTGAATTAACTGAATTTCTGTGATGAAAATGAAAGGTGGTGACCTATGACTATCAGGTATCAGTCTCCAGCAGTCATGTATTCTGATAGGTGCTAATCGCGGATTAGTTGCCAATGTGTACAGCGCATCATTCAGTTCATGTGGGTAGGTCTTCCATGATACAAAGTAGCAATAGAGCGGCCCTAGAGGTGACCGATCCTGGCGTGTGCGTTCCCAGAATACCTCTGTAATTGAAACGCTGTGCCTTTTTTGCTGATTGAGTGGTTTGTAACCTATGGAAGGGCACCTTTACACCAACTTCTCCAACAGCAAAGAGGTTATTGAGATGCCATATGTACATACAGTATATATATAAAATGTATCGAATATACAGAACTAAAGTGTTGTTTTGCGCATAGAGTTGGCCATTTTGTTCTGGAACAGTACCGCCTTACTGATCACTAGGAGCTCATGGCTAGCACCTAGGTAATTGAAAGGCTGTGTATTGGTTTACTTTACAAAATGGCCTCCATCGATGTGCTTAAGACTTGCGGCTGCCAGTGTCTGTCTGGCAGTGATGTATTTTATTATATTTGGGGTAGATCGGCTAACATTGCATGATTCTATCTTTTGTAAATAATGTTTTGTAACTTTGTATCTCTGTTACTGTATGGTGTTTTTTTTTGTAATGCTTGCATGTCCCTGCCCATCCCTTAAGGATTGGAGGGAGGTTTTGTTTTGAAATGTTGGTGCAATTTGTCACTTTTCCATGTTCCAATGCTCTCACACATGCAGTCTTTCCACCGTGTCGAGTACCAGTCGTGTCTCTAAATGTTGTGTGCACTACGAGGACCTTAGTATGTAAGGTAAGGAGCAGAACTCCTAGTAGGGGTAGATGTAGTATACTAGTGTCTTCTTTTAGGAGTGTAGCATTGTGTTGGGTTCAGGTCTGGAACTCAGTTATGGGGCATTAATGTCGCTTTTATAATGCTGCCCCCACTTCCCGTGAACGCACATCTTCAAAGCCCAGCTGAACCTTCAGTTTAAAACAGCTAAATGCATTACAAGTATTAAAAAAAAGGTGTGTGCAAAGTTATAGTTATTATTCCTTTTCTTCAGAAAGTAGCCACAGCTTGAGTAGGAAAGCCTGTACCTTGCCGGCATGCTGCAGAAAGGGACCCTTGCTCTATGTGTGGAAGCAGTGGTGTCTCTGCAGAGGTCCAACACACTCATGCTGAGTCACACCTACAGTATACAGTATATAAATTACTGTTATAAAAAAAATATTCCAATCTCCGCAATAAGTAAAGCTTGCGGTCCCTGCTGACTGGAGAACTCTAGCTCTGACAAATCAGGGGGGCTTGGCAGACCCCTGCAGAGAGATCCCTGCTTCTACACAAAGCAAGGGTCCTTCTCAGCAGCATGCTGGCAGAGGACAGGCTTTTGTATTGAAGCTGTTGCTGCTTTCTAAACAAAACAGAGTGGCTTGCACGCCTTTGGTTTTGATGCACCTGGAATGTATTTATCAGATTTAAATTAAAGGTTTAATTGGCTTTAAATACACCTTGAGTAATGGCTGTAGCAAAAGCTTATGCCATAATAATACCTCTCTAAAGACTTTCGTTATAAATATAAAACAAAATGTAGTCACCCTCTATTATATTGGTGCTATAGGCCTATGCTGGTTTTCTACAGATTCAAGTCTGGTCTTAAAAAAATAGGTTTATCAGGGAATTCTTCTTTACACAATTAAAGAATTCTTCTTTACACATTTGGGGAATTCTTTACAAAATTAGGGGAAACGTCTTTACAATTAGGCAATTCTTCTTCACACAATTAGGGGAATTTTCTTTACAGAATGAGGGGATTCTTCTTTACACATTTAGGGGATTCTTTTTTTACACAATTAGGGGATTCTTCTTCACACAATTGGGGGATTCTTCTTTACACATTTAGGGGATTCTTCTTTACATAATTAGAGGGTTCTTCTTTACACAATTAGAGGGTTCTTCTTCACACAATTAGAGGGTTCTTCTTCACACAATTAGAGGGTTCTTCTTTACACAATTAGAGGGTTCTTCTTCACACAATTAGGGGATTCTTCTTTACATAATTAGAGGGTTATTATTTACACATTTAGGGGATTCTTCTTTACACAATTAAGGGATCCTTCTTTACACATTTAGGGGATTCTTCTTTACACAATTGCGGGATCCTTCTTTACACATTTAGGGGATTCGTCTGTACAAAATTAGAGGGTTCTTCTTCACACAATTAGAGGGTTCTTCTTTACACAATTAGGGGATTCTTCTTAACACAATTAGGGGATCCTTCTTTACACAATTAGGGGGGTTCTTCTTTACACAATTAGGGAATTCTTTTTTACACAATTAGGGGATTCTTTTTTACACAATGAGAGGGTCCTTTACACAAATAGGGGATTCTTCTTTACGCAATTAAATAATTCTTTTTACACAATTAGGGGTTCTTCTTTACACAAATAGGGGATTCTTCTTTACACAATTAAATAATTATTTTTACACAATTAGGGGATTCTTCTTTACAAAATTAGGGGATTCATCTTTACAATTATGTAATTCTTCTTTGCACAATTAGAGAATTCTTAACACAATTCGGGGATTCTTTTTTACACAATATTTACACTCTAGCAATCAAAC